TTTTCCGAGATTCGCGAAGACTGTTTCCGGAAATTGCCGAGGACCCGACGAAGTCATTTTCACTGTCTTTGCAGAGTCGCAGCTGCTGGCCGTTCTAAAGTATTGAATAATCTTGTTCGTGCCTCTGGCCCAAAAAGAGTTGTATTAACTACAGGTGGTCCTTCTTTTTAACATGAGTGCACGCTTGTTCAGCACCGGCGTTTTCGGGGTTCATGTAGACTTCGGAAACTGCCGATTTAATCCGCAGTGACAGTCTGGTGGCAAAGAAAGTGCCGGTCCAATCGGCCTTTGCCAGTGCATGTAATAGGGTTAAGGCTGGTGGTGGGCGGTTCTTGATTACTGCAAACTAGGAATCGTGGAATTAACTCCGAACCCACTTTCTTTCTTCTGTGGTGATTTCTTCCGGGTGTCCATGATTTCTTCCAGTGGTTCCGACCCCTAGACAATTTAATGATTGTGTCCCACAAAGTAGCAATTTTATTACTCCGATGAATCCAACAACTAGTCAGTCCCAGTTACCTAGTCGGCTTCAAGTAGCTTCAGGATCCAGGATAACCCCCACTTCGAAACACAACGAGGCACCAACATTTTTCTTTTAAAAACAAGCTTTAAAAAAAGAAGAAAATTTTAATGAACAATATGTGAGGCATCGTTTTGCAATTTGGCGCTCGTCAAAAATAATAAAATCGAAAATATGGACATTTTCCCGACAGTTTTGCAAATGTTGTTCTGATTTTTGTTTTATTGATTCAAAACTTTTTAATGTACTTTTAAAAACAGATTACTGTGTGGGTTTTACTGAAAAACATTGATTAAAGGCGCAACAAATGTACATTTTCAGTTTCCAGAGACCATCAAGCTTTGGAAATCACCAAACTTTGGTGGCCATTTTATCGCTAATTTAACCTCTGAAACCAGACGACCCCGACCTCCTTCAATCTCAAAATCTAAACTTCTATTCAAGATAGATGTGTATTTTTTTCTGCAAAAGATGGCCAAAATGAACAAGCTCTAATATAATACCACTAACTCCAGATGTCCCAAAATTGACGAGTGCCTGATTCTACCGCGTTGAGAAACATTATATCTAATTGGTAATCGTTGGTTGATGTAAAAAAGAACTTTTCCCCTGTAGCACTAACCGATGGAATCGATTCCGGAATCGATTCTTCGCCTAGCCAAAGATAGTAAATAACAAGATGGGCCACTCAGCCAAAAAAGTGTCAGCAGGAAGTATGCTCTTTGCTTCAGATGGCGCTGCAGTCTGTTTTGAAGCTCTCTTTCGTTTTTCCAGAAGAAGAATAGGAATAGCACCTCCTTGCGTGCGCAGATCGACTGCTGTTCATCAGCAGTTCGGGTTCGTTCAGTACGGAGTTTTAGTTTTAAAAAATTTTAATGACCTCTCGCCTTTCATTCTAAAGTCAAATTAAACGAAGAAAACAATCACCCTTTCCTCCGGAAGAGGTTTTTTGTCAGCGTAACCATTTTAACAAAGCGTTCTTCCGAAATTCATTCAAAAACTTGCTAGTTTCACTTTGATTTTTTTAAACTCAAGTAGGATAACTCTGTTCGCTAAAGGTGAGCTTTTGCGAAGAGGGCGCCACCGAATTTTGAGGACACTTTTTTAATTGGCTCAAAGAGAGAAGTGGCCCCTCTTGTTATGTAGACTCTTTGGCCTAGCTAAGGCTATTTTCTGTTGCAACAAAAATATATGGGTTCGATACTAATGTGGGTTACGTTTGCCTTATATCGAGTTTTCTCGTCTTTCTGCTGAGTATAATGGTGTTGGTTTAAAAGTAAGTCCTCTTTCAATGTTTTTAGGTTGCTCGAGAGGCAGGACCTACTATTAAACGTCCGTGTGCATTAAGATTAACTACAACAACAACAAAAATAATAATAATAACAACAACAATAAAAATAATAATAATAAAACAAAACAAAACGTGCGCAGAGTATTCGAAAAGCACGAATACTGGCTTCACACTTAGCAGCGCTGATGAAGTTATTAAAATTTTGTCTAATCAAAATCATACAGCACTTGTTGGAGGAAGGTTTGATCAAAATTGTGTAGACCGGGACGTAAAATAATGCATACGTTTAAAAATAAAAACAAAATGGAGAAGGGTTCGATTTCAACGGAGTCTAGCACCATGCCTCCACCATGCCTCTTACGCTAACGCCACTGCTGGCGGCAAGGCACATGCCTGAGATCGATAATGTCATTGAGAACTTGACCCCATCAATCAGAGCGTCCAGCAGCCTGCCTGGCAGTCCGTCTTTCGACTCTCCGCTTGCCCCCTCCCCAACTAAATCGGGTTCCCTGATAAGTTATCTTTCTATTGTTTCATTGCCTTGACACAGTTTCATACTGCGCTTTAAGAATCTTGAGATTGTGGTTTGTTTTGTTTTGGTAAGTGTTTTTTTTTTACGGCGTTGGCAACTGCATAAGGTCATGTGAGCGCGCGAGGCACATTTTCAGATTGGTAGGAATTAATTTTGAGTTTTGCCCAGGTGGTGACCAAAGCCTACTCTTATTATCGATTTTAGACCACCAAGGGATCTTTAACATGTGCAACTTGTTTTGGGGACCTCTGAGATTTTTTTGCCCTTATTCGAGAAGGCAAGGTGTTAGATCTTACCTACTCTCAGATCAGGGATGTGGCTCAAAGACAGCAGTAAGAAGGAGCAAAGGAGTAGCAGTAGAAAGGCAGCACAAAGAGTCTGGAGCTCAGAGCAAAGGGGAGGGGGGAAAAAGCAATTTAATGGGGGATGGGTGGTGGGGAAAGAAAGAAGAGACGAAGGCAGACGAAGGAATATGGTTGGAAAGCAGGAAAGAAGGCTAAAAGTGTACATTTTAGAGAAGAAAATACTCCGTCAGGTTTCTAACCCGTGACCTATTGAATGAGAGGCGGAAACCATAAACTCTATCTTAAATATGTCAATCGAGTAGTCAATTCAAAACGAAACTCATGATTGTCTGCGTTCTAAGGAAAGCTACAAACCGAGTATTTCGGTCTTTCTGCTGGGATCATGCATCTCTCTCAGCCTGGGTTGGTCCTGTTAGGTAAGGCTGAAGCCCGCCTCCAAAATGATGATGTAAATTGTATCCCTGGGGCAAAAAACGTCTTCCTTAATTTTTCTTTTTCTTTAATCTCTTCGCTACAGGTTTAATCAGACAAGTCACCTCATCTAGATCGGACCTCTTCAAAAAATCTCGCTTGGCCGCCGCTAGTGGATCGTAGCCTTCACTGGCTCCGACCCCACCACCAGCCACCACAACCACAACCACAACAGCAGCCACCGCTGCATTATAATGTGCATCTTCATGGAGGAGGAGGAGGACGACAACAACAGCAGCAGCGGCAGCAACAGCGGCTCCGCGAAGCTGCAACTGAAGCAACACCACACATGGCTCATCCCACGCAGGATCCTCATGATTATCCTGGCGTTTGCCATCATCTTCTTCTTTCTCGGGATGGTCCTTATGGCTATTGGTGGAGGGATTGGTAGTACAGGGTGAGTTGTTGTTGTTGTTGTTGTTGTTGTTGTTGTTGTTGTTGTTGTCGTTGTTGTTGTTGTTGGTGGTGGTGGTGGTGGTGGTGGTGGTAGTGAAAGCTATTATGTTGTCGTATTTGTTGTTTTTGTGATGGT